CATTCTCTCTCTCTACCTGTTTCTGTATGCACTATACAGTGTACATCTTTTGTGCACTCCGTCTCTCTGTCTCTCTCTCCACAGAACAGTGTGTGCCACTTTGCCTATGTATCTCTACACTGCAATGTAGAAGTTCTTTCTGCCAGTCTCTCCGACCAGTGCAACTACCCTCAAATGGAAGATGAAAAATTACCAGCCCAGGCCCAAAATCTTTTCTACTTGCCCTTTACCATGATTGTTATAATGATGAAAAACTAACTACAGTTTATTCAATAAACCAATAAACAACTCAAAAAGAAAAAAAAACTCACTCTAGGTGAGATGTCACATCAGGTGAGATGTCACATCAGTTCAGTTGAATTCAATAATCCTTTCTGGGCATGACAGGCTACAAGTGTTGGCAAACTGTAAAAGAGACAGAAACCTCACATGTCTGTCAGAGATAGATGCAAACTCCATGGTTAGGGCTGTAGGGAGTGCCTCTCTGCCTGTCACTCCCCATAGGGTTGCCAAATTCCTAGTCGCACAAAACCGAACACCCGAGGCCCACCCCTCCCGCCCCACTTAGAAGCTGGACCTGCTGGTGCCCCAGGACTGGTAGGGACTAACCTGCCTTAACGCTGAAGCACCGCTGTCATAAATATAAGGGGAAGGGTAAACCCCTTTGAAATCCCTCCTGGCCAGGGGAAAGCTCCTCTCACCTGTAAAGGGTTAAGAAGCTAAAGGTAACCTCGCTGGCACCTGACCAAAATGACCAATGAGGAGACAAGATACTTTCAAAAGCTGGGAGGAGGGAGAGAAACAAAGGGTCTGTGTGTCTGTCTATATGCTGGTCTTTACCGGGGATAGACCAGGAATGGAGTCTTAGAACTTTTAGTAAGTAATCTAGCTAGGTATGTGTTAGATTATGATTTCTTTAAATGGCTGAGAAAAGAATTGTGCTGAATAGAATAACTATTTCTGTCTGTGTATCTTTTTTGTAACTTAAGGTTTTGCCTAGAGGGGTTCTCTATGTTTTTGAATCTAATTACCCTGTAAGGTATCTACCATCCTGATTTTACAGGGGGGATTTCTTTATTTCTATTTACTTCTATTTTTATTAAAAGTCTTCTTGTAAGAAAACTGAATGCTTTTTCATTGTTCTCAGATCCAAGGGTTTGGGTCTGTGGTCACCTATGCAAATTGGTGAGGCTTTTTATCCAACATTTCCCAGGAAAGGGGGGGTGCAAGTGTTGGGAGGATTGTTCATTGTTCTTAAGATCCAAGGGTCTGGGTCTGTAGTCACCTAGGCAAATTGGTGAGGCTTTTACCAAACCTTGTCCAGGAAGTGGGGTGCAAGGTTTTGGGAAGTATTTTGGGGGGAAAGACGTGTCCAAACAGCTCTTCCCCAGTAACCAGTATTAGTTTGGTGGTGGTAGCGGTCAGTCCAAGGACAACGGGTGGAATATTTTGTACCTGGGGGAAGTTTTGACCTAAGCTGGTAAAGATAAGCTTAGGAGGTTTTTCATGCAGGTCCCCACATCTGTACCCTAGAGTTCAGAGTGGGGGAGGAACCTTGACAACCGCTGACTGCGCTTTTAATGGCCCGGTCGGCAGTGGTGACTGGAGCTGCCAGAGTCCCTTTTTGACCAGGTGTTCCAGTTGAAAACCGGACATGTGGTCACCCCATCTCCCTACGGTGAAGTGTAGTGCAGTACTTTGTGTGTGTGTCTGTGCATGTGTGTGTGTGTACCCCATTTGTGTGTTTTCACTGGGTGCATATTCTGTGTAGCCTGGTTGTGATATTGGGTTTATGTATGGTACCTTGCATGTGGTTCTGGGTATAGTTTGCCAATCCCAAGCATTTAATAATCACAAAACTGGCTTTACATTTTTCATTTTCACTTTTCACGTTTTCAGGCTTTTCTCCAAGAGAGCTAGAAACTTTCCTTTGAAAACTGAAAGTTGAGATTCTCTCCTAGTCATTAGACTTCAGAAACTGGGGCTTAAGTACAGTAAACACACCAAACATTGCAAAAGTTATCAACACTATGTATACTACTGTATGTGTCTGTCTGCCAGTTCTGGCGGGGCCAGGGAGGGATGCAACTGTGTGTGTGTGTATGTCTCTGAGGAGGGGTGGATCTCTGTCTGTGTGTCTCTGTGGAGGGTTGTAGCTCTGTGTCTGTGTGCAGCACTAAGGGGAGGAGTATAGCTCTGTAGAACTGTGTGTGTCTCGTTGGAGGGGTGTAACTGTGCATAGCTTTGGGGGAGGGTGTAGCTGTGTGTGTGTATAATTTGGGGGGGACGTAGCTGTGTGGGTGGCTTTGGAGAGGCGTATAGCTCTGTGCAGAGGGGAATCTAGTGTAGCTCAGTGTGTAGCTCTTGGGGAGGAATGTAGCACTGTGCATCTATGTCTAGGGAGAGGTGTAGCACTGTATGTGTGTGGTTCTACGCAGGGGTGTATCTCTGGTGCATAGCTCTGGGGGAGGAGGGTAGCTCTGTGTGTGCGTGTTGCTCTAGAGAGTGGTGTAGCTCTGTGTGTGTGGTTCTAAGGAGCATTGTAACTCCATGTGTGTGGTTCTAGGGAGGGGTGTAGCTTTGTGTGTGAGTGTGACTCTAGGAAGGGGAGTAGATCTCTCCTTGTGTGTAGCTCTGTCTCTGGGGAGGTGGGTAGCTCTGGGTTTTTCTACACTTAAAACGCTGCAATGGCACACCTCCTTTGCTGCATTGCTGTAGCACTTCAGTGAAGACACTACCTATGCTGACAGCAGGAGTGCAAGTAGGACGGTACCCTCCAGTACGCAGTACTGGCAAGAGATTTTTAGCGGGTACAGAGTACTGGAAAGACTTTGGCCTAGCCCCCTGCCCACAACTCCAGGGGTGGGGAGGAGCTGTGCTCTGCTCCTTAAAGGAGCAGAACGAGGCTAGGGAGGCCATTCATTCTTTAAATGGCTTTAACAGCACAATACATATGCTAACAAACTTAAACAAAGGTTTCAGAGCATATGTATTGTGCTGTTACCTTGGTCAGGAGTCCTCAAGAGGGGAGGGATTGGAGGGGACAGAAGGTGTTTAAACAGTGTTTTTGATACTGTTTCTCCCCATTGGTCTGAATTATCCATGACATCCATACTGCATCACATCAAGTCTAAATCATTAGAGGAATGCCTCTGCTTGCACTGACCAGAGGATGTTTGGATTCTGATGTCAGCCCAGTTCTGCAGCCTGATGGGAATCATGAGTTGTCCCCAGTGTAGATATAATTCTTCTTTGCAGCCAAACTAGTCTACCATGCATTTTGTTAACTGGAACTGGAGCAGCAAAACAAATGTCTCATTTTCCAGCTTTGTGGGTGAGAGAACTATAAGTGAAGATTATAATGCCGAACATTGATGGCCTTAAACCAGCTGCCTCAGGAATCTGCCAAGAACTTTGCTGAAAAATATGTTCCTCATCTTAGCAATGGAGCTAACACTTATCACATATCTGCCCACCTTTATCTGAATTACATGCCTTCTGATCTGACAGCTCAGGCATTGTCAGTTTTATCCAGAACAATTTACAAACTTGGAACCTAATCCTGTAAACTCTTAATCATTTGATCAATCCCATTGAACACAATGGGACTATTTGCATATCTGTGGATCACTTCTGTGGACTGGTAAGAGTTTCAGGAGTCTGTTCCTATAAAGGAAGTTGAAGCCTGCATTGAAATGCAATGTTTGGGTATAATGCCATAATGCAGTTTAGGATACAGTTCTACTTAAAATTTGTCTTTTAATAAGTCATACATATGCTGAAATGGCTCCTCACCCAACTCCCATATTCCATATAAACAGACTGAATACTACATATTTGGGAGGAAAGTGAGTAGTTAAGCATGTTGATGTTTCTATATACAAAGGGAGATGTCAGAGGGGGCGGGAAGAGCGTGGGGGCCCCGGGCTGGGTGCAGGGCAGGGAGGAGTCATAGGGAGGGTCATGTGAGGAGGTCACATGCCCCCCTTGTGTCCCCCCCCATGAGTGCAGTACTGGCAAGAAAAATGATTTCTACTTGCACCACTGGCTGACAGGAAGACTTGTCCCATTGGCATAGGTAATCCACCTCCACAGGAGGTGGCAGCTAGTTTGACAGGAGAATTCTCCCATTGACCTAGTGCTCTCTACACCAGGGGTTAGGCTGGTTTAATTGTGTCGCTCAGGGACATGGATGTTTCACACCCCTGAGCGATGTAATTTTACTTCTTAGTGCAGATCAGGCCTCTGTGTGAGAGAGGTTCTAAGGATGGGTGTAGTTCTTTGTGTGTGCATAGCTCTGGGGTAGAAGTGTAGCTCCCTGTGTGTCTCTAGGGAGAAGTGTAGCTCTATATCTGTGGCTCTAGGGAAGGGCGTAGCTTTGTGTGTATCTCTAGGGTAGAGTAGAGTCTAACTGTGTGTGTGTGGCTGTGGTTCTAGAGGGGTTGTAGCTCTGAATGGGCATAGGGAGGAATGTATGTAGCTCTGTGTGTATCTTTGGGATGAAGTGTAGCTCTGTGTGTGGGTGGCTCTAGAGAGGGTATAGTTGTGTGTGCATGGTTCGAGGAAAAAGTGCAGCTCTGTATGTATCTCTAGAGAAGGGTGTAGCTAGGGGTGATAGGAACAATTTTTATAGTGGGGGTGCTGAGAGCCATTGAACCAAACTGTAAACGCTGTGTATAATGGAAACCACTTCAAGCCAGGGGGTGCTGCAGCATCTGTTGGTGTAGTTTCTCTCTGTGGCTCCAGGCAGGAATGTAGTTCTGTGTGTGTGGTTCTAGGGAACAGTGTAGCTCTGCGTGTGTCTCTAGAGAGGACTGTAGCTCTCTCTGTGTGTGGCTCTTGGGATGAGGGTGGCTCTGGGTGGGCGCGTGTGGCCGTAGGGAGAGCCATAGCTGTATGTGTAGCTTAGTTCAGTCATTTCCTTCCCCTGAAACCTACAGCAGCAGTAGCGGGCGGACCCATGGGTTCCCATCCTCTCCCCATCTCTGCAAGGATTGGCTGGTGTCTCCGCAGTGCGGCCCGGGATTGGCTGGCTCTGGCGGTGTAGCGGGCCGGGATTGGCCCGGCTGGCTCTCGCTGAGGCTGTGTCGGGGCCCAGGCTTTGGTGCCGGGACCCGGCCTGGAGGAGTCGGGACCGGGGAGGGGTGAGTGCAGGGGCCGGCCTGGCCGGCGGGCTCGGGGGAATGGCCCCCGTTGCGCGGTAGCGTGGCTGGCTCGGGAGGATCCCGGGCGATTGGGCCCGGCCGCTCCGTGCCGCGGCCTGTCACGGGGGGAGCCCCGGCCCCCGGGCTGTCGCGGGCGCGACCCGTCCCTTCTTGGTTTCCCCGGGGGTCTGACCCCTTTGCCCGGGTGCCCGGTGCGGGGCAGGAGCGGCGCAGCCCGGGCCTGAGGGGAGCGCCTGGGCCGGAACCGCCGCCTCGGTACAGGCCGCCTCCCCCGGGCTTGACGACGGGTCTCGGCTCCACGCCTGTCCAGGCTTGTGCAGGCCCGGGTGGGGGATCGGCCAGCGCTGCTGGCAGCAGGGACTGGGAGGCGCGAGGGGGTAGGAGGAGCTGCGGGGTGGGGCTGGGCATGGTCTAGTCAGTAGGGGTGGGGTGCCTGGGGGATGTGGTGGCCACCGGGGCAGCTGTGACCCATAGAGTGGGAAATAGGTGGGGGTGGGGGGCGCCTAGGGAGGGTAGTGGGGAGCAGGGTACATGTGGGTGGGGCTGCTACTCTGAAACCTGTCAGGATTTAGTGTGTGTCAAGGCTGAGCCCTGGAAGCTGGAGGCTTGGCAATTCATAGCCCCGGCACCTCTGGGCTTGCTGCATCAGTTATAAATGTAAAAAAAATTACTTGAGTCTCAGTACCGAATTGCTTGAGGCCTGACACCTTTTTCATTACCAGTTAAGTTCTATGGGGCACTGGGTTGTGGAGTCCTGGCCACAGTCAGTGAACACATCTGGGCCTCCATGCTGCAAACCCTTCCCCTGTGTGCATAACTTCACGTGTGTGAAGAGTCACTTTAATCAAATGGGACTGCTTGTGCAAGTAATGTAAAATATAGAACCATAGATACGTAGGGCTAGAAGGGGCTCGCAGTTCATCCCGCACATTGAGTATACCTGGGCGCCTGCAGGATTGGGGCCATAAGTAGAAGCACATTCATAAATGTGAAGGCTGGTATTGCTTCTATATAAATCCATAGTATGCCCACATGTTGAATACTGTGTGCAGATGTGGTCACCCCATCTCAAAAAAGATATTTTGGAAAAGTTACAGAAAAGGGCAACAGAAGTGATTAGGGGTATGGAACAACTTCCATATGAAGAGAGATTAATAAGACTGGGGTCTTCCAGCTTAGGAAAGACACAACTAAGGGGGGAGATCTATAAAATCACAATTGGTGTGGAGAAAGTAAACAAGGAAGTTTTAGTTACTCTTCCTGATAATACAATAACTAGGGATCACCAAATGAAATTAAGAGGCAATAGGTTTAAAACAAACAAAAGGAAGTATTTCTTCACACAGTGCATAGTCAACCTGTGGAACTGTTTGCCAGAGGATGTTGTGAAGGCCAAGAAACTGACAGGGTTAAAAAAAGAACTAGATAAGTTAATGGAGGATGGGTCTATCAATGGCTATTAGCCAGGATGGACAGGGATGCAAAACCATGCTCTGAAGTGTTCTTAGCCTCCGTTTGCTAGAAGGCAGGAATGGGTGACAGGAGATGGATCAGTTGATGATTACTTGTTCTGTTCATTCCCTGTGAAGTACCTGGTATTGGCCACTGTCGGAAGATAGGATACTGGCTAGATGGACCATTGATCTGACTCCATATGGCCATTCTTATATTCTTACGATAACAGTCTGTACGTACTTAGGCTATGTCTATGCCAAAAGGGGTGGCCAAACTGTGGCTTGCGAGCCACATGCGTCTCTCTTACTGTTAAAGTGCAGCTCACAGCCCCCCCCCCCCGCCATGCCCTGCCCCATTTTCCACCTACCAGACTGTGTGGGGCGGGGGGGGGGGGAGCTTGGGACCTCTGACTTGCAGTAGGGTGGTGGTGTAGGGGTTTCTGCCCAGTGGGGTAGGCGTTCTCAGGGTTGAATTCAGGGGTGTGAATTTTTTGTAGACTTCAGGTCTCTGGCTCTAGGATCTTGCAGGATGGATCCAGCCCAAGCTCTAGGACCCTCTCAGGGCCCTGGAGCCTGAGTTCTAGCCTAAGACTGGAAGTCTCCACAGCAGTGAAACAGCCCTGTGGACTGAGCCTCCCAGGCCTGAGTTGGCTGGCAGAGGCCAGCTATGTGATTTTTCTTTGCTGTGTAGACATACCCTAAGTGACCTAATTATAGTGGAATTAACGATATTTTAAAATAAAGAACATTTTGAACACTTGCATAGTATCCGACCAGATACCACTGAAAGTGATTTCACAGACATGAGTTATACATTCATATAAATACACATATATTGCACAATCTCTGCATATTCAAAGGATGAAAACAATGTTTAAAAAAATTCAAAATTGTAAACTAAACAGGGTCATATATGTGATACTATATAGTTCGCAGAGGAGCCAGGTCTCTCAGGCTTACTGACTTGGGTGGGTTTAAGGTGCTGCTTTGTGTTTTTAATGTCTCTGTAGAGACCAGTTTTCTGGTATGAATCTTGAACTGTGTTATATACGCTTATCCCTCTAAACTGTGCTACCTTTGGGGCTGAAATTGTGCTGCATGTGAATTTCTTTTGTTATATTTGATAAAATTCCATTTGACCATCTTGGGGGGTGGGGAGGAAGGGGGCCTCCCAGCAGTAAAGAGAACTTTCAAATTTTATTTTTGTGCTCTGATGGCTTTTTAAAACTTCTGTACTTCATGGACTTGATGTTCATTTAAGACTAGTGACATGATTGAAAAAAATGGTTTAAAAATAAGCTGTGTAAATATTTATGTATCTGTGATGCAGTACACCAGATATAAACCATTTTGTTTACTTGATTATACAAGTATATATTTGCATCAGAGATTGTATAGAAGTTATTTTCCCTAAAACTGTTAATGTAAGATAAATGTTTAAAAATCAACACACATGAATCAAGAAAGTAAATTGTTTACTGTAGCCATATTGCAGAGGTAATAAGGCAAATGCAAATGGTGTACAAGTGATAGAGATGACTACACATGTGCAATGTGGTCAAGCTATTGTTGCTGTAGGAAACGTAACTTTTACATTTCTTGACTTAAAAAGTCAAGCTTAACATTGTATAAATAGTGCTCTTTCACAGGTATTGATTTTTGTCTATTTTGCTAATTCAGTGCATAAGCAGTGCAGTGAAGAAAGTATGTCATTATTTTGCAAATCAAATCAACATCAAAACAAGGCACATTTTTGACCCAGTTTTATTGTGCTGGGTCAGTTGTGGAGTTTTTCCATGAAAAGGACCTGTTCCCCCCAAAGAATTCAGTATATTAACTGAAAAGTGTTTAATCTAGTGTACTGGGTTAACCCAGAGAATGCTGTGATGGGTATTAGTAGCAACAGTTCAGGATGGCACCATCATCGCTTTGTATAAATACACTATTTTGCATGGAATCAGAAGTACTCATTGGCTTGTGGGTCTGGTTTTTTTTTTTTGGTGGGAGGGTTGGGGTTTTTTTTGGTGATTCTTGGTCCCTTTTGCTTTGGCCTGGCGTAGTCTTGAAATAGATGAATCTTATTACTTTATTTTGTACTGTGATAGGGCCTAGAGGCCAGGGCTCCATTGTGCTAAGCACAGTATAAACATATAAGAGAGACTGTCTGTGATGATTCCTAGCAGTACCCAGAATTATGAGGCACCTCGCTACCATCCACCCTTAGCATGAGAAAGCCGTCTCTGCGCCTGCAGAGTGTTAGCTCCTTGACTTCACTGACCACGGGCAGCATTACTTTACGCAGGCTCTGTTATCCATCTGCAGGTTAGCAAAATGCACGCTCCAACACCTGAATCTTCTGAGTGTCCCCTTGGATTGTCCAGCCGCTGGTTCACTGGACACGTAGAGTTCAGAGATTCACTGCTTCCAAAGGAACGGTACCCCCCAGTTTACCAGCTACACCTCAGAGCAGCACTCCATTTAACACACAGCATTTCACTTTTTTTCACACCTGTAAAAATGTATTTGACAACATACAGAGATTTGAGAAGTAGCAAATAAAAGGTTTGGAAACAAGTGGTTACTTGTGAAATAAAAAACATAACACACATTCTAGAGCCTGGACTTAATTAACAAGATATTCTCCTGTCTAATGAAGCTTAGTTCACCCAAACTCTCTGTAGCATTTTCAGAGCAAAACTATGCTCTGAAGTGTCCCTAGCCTCTGTTTGCCAGAAGCTGGGAATGGTTGACGGGGGATGGACCACTTAATGATTACCTGTTCTAGTCATTCCCTCTGAAGCACCTGGCATTTTCGGCACCATTGGAAGACAGGATACTGGGTTAGATGGATCATTGGTCTGACCCAATATGGTCATTTTTATGTTCTAGCTAAGTTAGCTGTGACCCTCCTTTCTTAAAACAGAACACGTTGACAGTATCCTCGGTGAAGGATCCAGGGTGTACCTCAGGACCTCCAGTTGTACCCCAAAAATCCATTGTCTTTATGTGTAAACAAGATACCTCTCTGCTGAAAGTGTTTCCTGCAGTTTTTTCTCTTGAAGATGTCACAAACTCTTGATTATCGTTCTGATCTGTCTGTGGAGGGACCTCCATTGTGAAGCAGACAATATCACACATGTGACCAGCCAGAGTGAGAAGGGTCTCTTCCCTCCTACTTAAAAGAAGCATGTTTATCACCTTCTGGTGACCGGCCTTAACTTACATACCTTAAAACCATAATTTCTGGTTTAGATACTTAACTTCTTAAATATTATCCATACATACATTTTGAAATGATTGATAATCAGTGGGATACTGTCTTTCAGTAGAGACTTCACATGTCACACTTTGGTGAATTATTGTATGTATACTTGACACAGAGGATCCCAATAAAACTCTATACCTTCCCCGTTCAGGCCCTCTACCAGTTGGCACAAAGATATTCCTGGGTCACAGTTCCTTTACCTGAAGAGCTTATAATGTAGGTAGATTGTTATTTACAATGCAAGATAACTGGAGCTGTGA